TGTTCAAAACATTACATAGTTCTTGATGCCCCTAAGATTTTTTTATGGTGGTGGGGAGGGCGGACTATAAGACATCCTTTTCTCTGGCTCTAATCCAATTTCTTTGAGTGATGTGTAAACCTTAAAATTGTTTGTAGCTCCGTGTCTGTATCCATTACTTTGGAAATGACCCCTACATTTCACATTCTATATAACATTTTCCTGTCTTCTCCAGGAATTGCAGAAGATCCTTTGTAGACACACTAATTGCCTGTGACACCCGCAGTCCTTCTGAACACTGGCGTTTTCTTGGTAAATCAGTAAATACTCTGTTATTTGGAGAAGACATTGTTGCAAAACACTTTGCCTGAATCTTGCTTTCTACTTAAACATCATAATCACACAGGGCTAAGTTATACCTTCACTGCTGCCCTGTGAACATCATGCTCTATATGGATTTGGTGTTACAATAGCTTCAGAAACAATTCAGCCCGTCAAAGTAACAGTAATGATTTCTTTCGTGGGCATATTAATCTCATAGAAACCAAGCATTACATTTTAGACAATGAAGCTTGCAAAGAGACCTGTCAAATCTATATTTTTTAAATGCTTTATGCTATATTCTTCCAAAACACACCCCACTCCATTGACCTTTAAGCACATTAACCTCTGCAGGGAGATTTCTTAAATCCATATTATGTGCATAAAGTCTCTAATTCAGCATTTAGTGAGGAAAATAGATTGTAGTTGGTGCTAAAATGTCAGTGAATCATCCACATCTGACAGTAGACTTGCTGAATGACAAAGGATAGCATTAAGCTTGTCTTAAAAGAAAATGCAGCATGGCCAAAAATACTAGTAGATCCAAGGCAAATGTTCAAATAATAGGCACACTTCATCATACCAGTATTCAAGTTACAAAGATTCCTAAATATAAAGAGGAGGTTGCAATCTGTCATCAGCATCAAGAACTATGAAGCTACTCAACATAGTTTTCCCCTTGTCTAGCCACAGTCTTCTAGTACTTCCTTCCTCCCATGAGCCAAACTCCTTTACTCCCCAACCTCTTCTGCTACTCAAGCCATTCACCCCTCACTACTTGGGGAAACTTAGGTCATCTTTCCTGAGTTTTCGTACAGTTTTCTCCTTCCACCCTTCCTTCTTCCCAACCCTTCTTCAACTCTGGGCCTCACTGTAGAACGTATCTGGTTCCTTTTCCTCCTCTTTACATTGCTCCATTTTTTTGAGTCAAATAAGATGATTATAATCATAAGTGAGACACATAAGCATAACATTTCTGACCCCCCTAAATCAATGGAAAAGAATGCCATATATTTACCAGTGAAACAGAGCATAATAAGGAGCCAGCACCTCAACCATTGCTGATCTTCAGAATTCCACAAGGCTTCTGCCTCTGTCCGAGAGTCAGGTGTTACTCTGGTTTGACTGATTTGCTTCCAGTACCAACATTCAATTAAAAATTAAAAACTACTAATCTATTTTTAAATTTTCTGTTTTGTTTATTTATCAGCACTAAACAAGTATTGTTTTCTATTTTTAAAAAAGTTCAAATAGGTAGTAACTAGTTTCACTGCTAACAAGGCTTTATGAGCCTTCCAATTAGTTTAGACAGGGAATAATCAAAATCAGAGCTGAAATTAATGGAATTGAAACAAAAGAAACAAATGAAAAAAAAATTGACAGAAAAAGTTGGTTCTTCGAAAAAAATAAATAAAATTGACAAACTCTTAGCCATGCTAACAAAGAGAAGGGGAAAGAAAACTCAAATTACTAACATACGTGATGAAAAAGGAAATATCACAACACACACAACAGATACAGAAGATAATTAGAAATTATTTTGAAAACTTGTACTCTAATAAAACAGAAAATTTTGAAGGCATCAACAAATTTCTAGAATCATATTACTTGCCCAAATTGAACCAGGATGATATACACAATTTAAACAGATCAATTTCAAGCAATGAAATAGAAGATGCCACCAGAAGTCTACCAACCAGGAGAAGCCCAGGACTAGATGGATACACAGCTGAGTTCTACAAGACCTATAAAGAAGAACTAATACCCATACTCTTCAATTATTTCATGAAATAGAAAAAGAGGGAGCACTTCCAAACTCACTCTATGAGGCCAATATAACCCTGATTCCAAAACCAGGCAAAGATGCATCAAAGAAAGAAAACTTCAGACCAATATCTCTAATGAATATAGATGCAAAAATTCTCAATAAAATTCTGGCAAATCAAATACAAAAACATTTCAAAAAGATAGTGCACTACGATCAAGTGGGGTTCATCCCAGGGATGCAAGGCTGGTTCAACACAAGGAAATCAATAAATGCAATTCATCACATCAACAGACTTAAAGAGAAGACTCATCTCAATAGTTTAATCTCATTTGTAATCATTCTCTTGTCAATGTACTTGATCAATATGTAAATGCATGCCTAAATTGTGACCCATGGTAAGTTGACAACTATACTACTTGAAGATTTCTGCCTGAAACAAACCTCATATATTCACTGCTGCATCTAAGAAGAGCAGGATCTGTTCATTTTTGTAACTGGTTTTTCTGCTGAAAATACTTAAAGAATTACAAAGACTCTCCCAATTTGTTTTCTATTTCTCATTCCTATGCAAGCAAAACAGATGACCTAAATATACTTAAAAGATACTTAATATCTGACACTTAATCAGAAATCTTGGAATTTGGAAATGGTAGGGGAAACATGGTTAAATTTGTGAACCTAAAGTTTTTCACTTTATAGGACTTGTCTTTATTCAATATTTTTCTTATTAATTTATTTTCTTACTGAGCAGTGAGCTCCAGAGATCTTGTCTGTCTTGTTTTACCCAGTGTTGCCAGTATCTAGAATTGGCATAAAGTTATTATGGATAAAAACAATTGCTGAATGATTAAAAGAATTAATCAAGTAATTGTTTATTTAATCAATTTAATTATTTAGGTTCTGGTTGGTTTTGCCATTGATCATTCATCACATAAGAAAGAAAAAAGGTAAAGATGTATGTATAGTAGGTCCAGAATCTTATAAATTAGAGTTTGAAGGGATCCTGGTTCAAAATATCAATTTTATAACTAATAGGTTAAGTAATATGATGCCAAGCTGAGCAATGGCTGAACTCTTGTCCTAAGCCTCAAACCACTTGGGTCTCCTAGAATCAATTCTCCTTAAAGGAGGCAGAGTTTACCCTGCCCACAGAAGGGACACTTGGGATAATCTTGTTGCCTCAACAGAATATATGTAGAACTCAAAATGAGAACAAAATGAGATGAAGCACATGGCAAAAGCAGAATATTATCCTACATTATTTTTAGTTAGACAACAAACTTTAACATCTTGGGGACAAGAGCTTGTGGGAAAGCAGAACAAAGAGCACAATTACCAATGTGCTTTCTAACCCTGGCCAAGTTTGATTTTTAGGCACAAATTGAACTTGAGAGAGAACTTGAGACTCAGATGTGTTGTATACCTAGCCTTTTCCACCCTATAAGGTTTCAGGGAAGATATTATCCTGAGTTTACAAACAAGGGACCTGAAGGTGAGAATAGTTAGGTAAACTGCTCAAGGTTATACAAGTAGTTGGTGATGAGAGACAGAAATTAGTTTTCCTAGCCAAGACAGTTTAATGTACTGTTTTCACCATTTAAATGCATATATACTTTCTAGGTCTTGAACTTATTTCCTGAATATGTGGGTAGAATATTCCTTCTACCTGTCCATCCTTCCTTCTTCCAGATGAAGATCTGGGCTGTTGACTATGATGTCTACTCTTCAGCTTTTGTCTGAAAAAAAAAAACTGGCTCTTTTTAATGACAATAATTTGCCCTTTTCTTTTTATGGGTCTTCAAGTGACTAAATGACCAATATCATAAACCCCAGAAGATCAACCTCTAGGTTCTGTGGTTTTAAGGCATCCAGAGCAGAGTTTGTACTATGCCTTTCCCTCCCCTCCCCTTCCCTCTGCTACCTGCAAACACACAAATGCCCAGTAGGATGCCACCACACTCTCCTCCCACCTGAACTGTTCATCACTGCATGCACTAGTGGATTACACCAAGTAAAACAACAAGAGCCATTGGAAGGATGGAAGTCAGTAAGGTGCCTGTAGCCTGGTGAGACGACACTGCCAGAGAAGAAATATCCAAAGAGGAGGAGCAGTGGGAGATGCTAAAACAGAAAACAAGTTTCTGAGTCTAGAACTAAGGTAGGATAAATGGTAGTATTTCCTCTTATTGCTTCTGATAATCTTGGCAATAAAACATTACGTGGATATTTTAATTCCTGAACAGAGAAAATTAGCAAGCAGGAAAAGTGTGTCTTTAGTGTGCCCTGCTAGGAAGCCAAGACTGCACACATGGTATAGCCGTGGCGAGGGTTGGCTGTGGCAGGATGCAGGACCAGTAAAGCCCTGGGGCCAGAGTACAAACAGAAATCTCCTGAACTGTTTGGCCAGCTTGTGTTCCCCACCTCCAGGTCACCTACCCCATCATTTGGCCCCCTGAGGGGCTGGGTATTGGTTCATAGGAACCCATCCCACATGTCTAAGCTTCTATTCATGCCCAAGCTCACTTTCTCCATAAATAGCCACCCCTTAGATCTATGGCTATGCAAATCATGGCACCACAATCCACTCTCACAAGGACAAACTAGGTCTTTGAAAACCAGCTTGTAAGCAGTAATTTGAAGGTCCAAGGTCCCCAGATGATGGTCTAGAAGAGGAGTCCAGATACTGGGTAGTCACATCCCTGGGCCAATCCCACCGGCTCATGTTCTCAGGAAGAGCAGCCAGAACATGTCCATGAATGGTATGGAACCAAGGCAGGACCTGGCTGTTTGGATCTAGGAGTGACACTGAAGTTTGGAGCTCTATGGACAATACAAAACCTGTAGGAAGTCTTACAGGTTCAGAAATCTTCCTCACAAAAACCTGTAGTTTTGACGGCAGGATCTCTGACCCTGCCCGGCTTCCTATTGATAGGATGAGAAGAAAGTGACAAGATTGTATAGGATACAGTTAACCTGGGAACAAGCATGCTCCTTTGGACTTAGACATGAAATAGGACATAAACCTATTCCCCAAATTAAAACAGGTGTTTAAGCCGGATGTGGTGGTGCATGCCTGTAATCCCAGTGGCTTGGGAGACAGAGGCAGGAAGATCGTATGTTCAAAGCCAGCCTCAGACAAAGCGAGGCCCTAAGCAACTCAGTGAGACCCTATCTCTAAATAAAATACATAATAGTGCTGCAGATGTGGCTCATTGGTCAACTACCCCTGATTTCAATCCCTGGTACCCAAAAATAAAATAAAATAAAACAAAACAAGTGTTCTAGAGAAGCACAGCATCCACTAAATAATCTCTGCAGCTTTATTATTTCATGCTTCTATTTTCAATTGATTAGAAGAGAAAACTTCAATTTTTGCATAGAGAACAATTATGAAGACAATAGATGCTTCTCTGGGCTCTTTTCTAGAGGTGAAAGCACAAAGGCCTGGCTTTATAAAGACTGTTTAATTTGTTTGTTAGTGGGGGGAGTGGAGGTTAATTAATCTAGTTTTGGGACTGCCAGATAACATCTATGTTCTGTAGCTTATACATTATGCTGTCCAATTAATTCCTCCCAAGGACTTTTTATACTAGACGATTCAGCTCAAAACTTCAGGCTTGAAACTTTTCAAGGTCTTTGGGGTGACCATTAGAGAAGAGCACACTTTGGAAATGATCACCTTTTTTTAATTCTTTCATCCTGGTGGGTAGCTGTGATCTCCCTTAAGGTTAACGAGGTTGTGATCCTTGGGGACGTGTGGCCAGGACACCCATTGCAATTGCTCTCACGTGTTCCTCTTGTTTAATTCCTGGAAGCCGTCTGCAGCCTGTGATCCAAGATGCCTGCCTGCCGTTCTGCGCACCAGGGTTTCCTGCTGTAGTTGGCTGGGCCCAGGAACAGCCAGACGCCCTTGGAATCTTTAAATGCTTTTCCAACAGAAGGTTTGGCCATTTCTTCTCCCGGTGCTCATTTTAAAATTAAGCACATGAACACACATTTTTTTGAATACTGAAGAAGTCTTTTAATTGATTCCCTGAATATTTTAAGGTCTATTAATTCCATTGATGTTGCAAACACTGCAATTCATTCCAGCTGCTGTTCTAATCACATTCATTAACAGGCTTATTTTTACCTGCCAGCTAATATTTTACATTGCATCAATAAATCTTCAGCTTTCTAGCCAAATTGTGTACAAAATAAAATGAATTACCTAACCTCCTGATTGTTCTACGGGAATTGGGTTAGCTAACATCCCTCCTTCTGCAAAGGATTAATCAGCATGAATATAAAGGTGATAAACTAAAGAAAATGGATGCTATTTACTTGTGACATTACAAGTGTAACATTGGATTACTTTAAATATAAGTTTTTCTTGCAGAGTCTACCCATTTAATTCTTTTATCTTATATAAATGAAAAAGCAGCATAATAGTTACTCTGATATAGACAAAAGATTTTGTATTAGATTAAAATAATTCATATGCGTTTTCTTTTTTCTTTTTTTTTTTCAGTAATTTGTATCAGCCCACCCACGATGTCCTTCAACAGCTTGTGGTCTTGCCATAGATATTTCTAAACCAATGGCTCGGAATTAGGCATGTAATTTTGAAGTAAAACAGAACAATTAGTGATTCACAGGGTAAACAAACAAGGTGTCTTGAAATCTTTTTCTGGCACCGTATGTTAATGAAAAAAGAGGAATTAAACTAGCCAATCCACAGAGTTCGGAGCTAGATCTCTCCAGATGAACTGGTAAATTTTCTGTCATTAGATAATAAGGACAGTCAGAGAAATACAGAATTGTGGTTATGAAACCATATTGGACCTGACAGATAGCTTTGTTACTTACAAGCTGTGGATTTGGGTAAATTAATTCACCTGTGTAAAACTTACCATATTCTTAAGTATTGACTAACAGATAAAATCTTGCACGTAAGATGCTTAATACAGTGCTTGGCCTTTCTTAAACCCTCTAAAAATGTAAGCAAAAAGGAAAAAAGTTGCATTTTACATTCAACTACCATAGCTTCTCTTAAATTGGGTTTTATGCTATAATAATATGCCAAATACTTTTACAAGGTCCTGGCGACATTACCGTGCTCACACCTTGCCACTGCATTGTAAAACCTTGCGGTCCTTCTGACATCATCGACTACTAGTCTCCCAAACTCACCTAACTCAAACCACATGGGCCTCCTGCCTGGCCTGGGAACATGTCAGTCATTACACAAAACTGACATTGAGGGAGGACAAGGAAACAAGGTATTAAGAAATAATCAACCAAAGAAGTGGATAAGAAAGAAAAAATAGAGGAACATAAAGCAGATTAGGTAAACTGAAGACAAATATAAAATGGGAGATTTCAACCCATAACAATTCCCAGGATATATATGATATGCTCCTATTAAAAGACAAAGATGATAGATTCAACTCTCCAAACATACCACTTGGTGGTTATAAATAACACATCTCAAAATAAGGAAACAAAAAGTTGAAAATAAAAGGATGGAAAAAGGTACAGCAAACCAACATTAACGACCCCACATGCTGCTTAACTATACCAATATCAGGCAAGGTGGACACAAAGCATAATCAGAGACAAAACACATTATTAACCAGATAGCCAGACAAAGAGCCAAACCAGAGACAAGACATTTCATTAGAAGGGTCAGTCTACTGTAATTCATTTTTAATGTGCACTTACTCAATACCATGTCCCTAAAATACAGAGAGCAAACACTGGCAGAACTGCAAGGAGAAATAGAAAAACCAATAATAGTGAAAGACATAAACAAGCTCTCCTCATATATGACGGAAGTACAGAAAAGATCAGTAAACAGTTGGAAGAGTTGAACAACATGATTAATAGACTTAAGCTAATTGACTTGTGGCAAACAGTACCCAACAACTACAGAAGGCACATTCCTTTCAAGCAGACACTGAGTATCGACAAAAATCAACCATATACTGAGCCATCAAGGAAAGCTCAACAGATTTCAAAGGATTTAAGTCATCAAAATACGCTCTCTGACCATGGTCATATTAAGCGTAAAGTCACTAACAAAAGAGATAACTAGAAAGTCTTCCTATCTGTACAACTTAATATATACACTTCTTATTTTGATTGACTGACCATAGTCAAAATACTCTAGTCCTTTTCTGAGAGGGGAAACGTACAGTATCCATTATAAAAGAAGAAACATGGAAAATCGATTAGCTAAGTGCCCACCTCACAAAGTTGGAAATACAGCAGCAAAATAGACCTAAGTGAAGTAAAAAGAAGGAAATAGAAAGAAAAGAATAGAAATTAATAAAATAGAAGCCATGGAGAGTCTGACAAGCCCAAAATGTGCTTCTTTGCAAAAATCAATAAATTTGATAATCCTCCCGTGAGATGGATCAAAAGACAAAGCATAATTAACTAATATTAGGTATGAAATGGGGAATATCACAACACACTAAAAAGATTATAAGAAGATGTTGTGAAAAAAGATATTAAGATATTGTTGAAAATGTAACAAAAGGCACAAATCCTTAAAAAAAATACTAAGTAGAAATAGAAAAACTAGAATAGTCCTATAATAAAATTTGTAAATAAAAAACTTTCTACCAAGAAAACTTCAAATCCAGTTACTGGTGAAATAGTAGATACAATTCTACACAAACTCTTCAGAGAATGTGTGTGTATGTGTGTGTGTGTGTGTGTATGTACATTTTTTATGAGACTATGTAATCTTGAGGCCAAAACCTGACAAAATCATTCTAAGAAAGAAAAATTATGAATCAATCTCACTAATAAACAGGATTCCAACAAACACATAAATTGCAAAACTCAGGATTACAATTGTCAGTTCTCCCTCAGACTTTCTAAAGATTCACAGAAACCATAATAAAAGCCCCCAACATTTATTGATGAAGAAATCGACAAAGCCTACTCTAAACTTATATGGAAATGCAAGGTGGCAAAGAATAAGCAAGCTTCTTGAAGAATAAGTTGAGATAATTTGTTCCACTATATAGAAAAACATCTTATAAAGCTGCTCTAATAAATTGGAATACCATTGCAAGATTGGACAGCTAGACCAATGGAATAAAATAGAAAATCCAAAGGCAGAACCAAAAATATAGTCACACTTGACTTAGGACAGTATAAGATTGCAATTCAAAAGTAAAAGGATTTTTTTTTTAATCTTTCAATAAATGGTGCTAAATCAGTTGGATGTCCCTAGAAAATAAAAGAAAACTGGACTCCTACCTCACACCACACACAATGTTAAATTCCATGTACACAAGGCAAATGACGACATTTTAGAATAGAATATAGGATAATATCTCCATTACACTGAGATAAGGAAACATTACTTAAGCAACACACATGCCATGAGAAAAACATAAAAACCATAAAAATAAAGTATGTAAATTGTATTACCTTAAATCTCAACTTTTTCCTAAAGTTAAGATTAAGAATGTGAGAGGAGCTAAGAGGTATGGTACCTGCCTGCAATGCCAGCACTCAGGAGGCTAAGGAGGGAAGATCACTGGAGCCCATGAGTTTGAGACCAGTCTGGGGTATGTAGGAAGATCCTGCCTCACTAAAAAAAAAAAAATAATAATAATAATAATTAATAACATGAAAGTGCAAATGATATATTGGAATTAAAATTGTTGTGATACCTATAAAACCAACAAAGGGATTCTGTTCAGGATACATAAAACACTTATAGTTCTTACAGTTCTTACAAAAATGGGCAAAAGACCTCAACAGGCACCTCACAAGGAGGATATCTAAATAAAGAGATACATTCAACTTCTTCAGTAACCAGGAAAATCTGAATTAAAACTGCAATGATATGCTAATAAGCAATTGCCATAATACCTAAATGAGACCAAAAAAAGAGTGATATTACCAACTATTCATGTGAATGCAAAGCAATAGGAATTCTTATACATGGTAAAAATATAAATTACATATTAAAATTGAACATGCATAGAACTACGACCCAATAATTTCACTCCTTGGGTATATACCCAATAGGAGTGTGTGCATAGCAACATTATTCAAAATATTTGTGAATAACTCAAATGCTCAGCAGCATTGGATGAATGAATTGTGGTACTTTTATTCAATGTAATAATATACACCACTGAAAATGGCCCAACTACAGTTTCATGGAACAGTATTTTCAACCCTACAAACACAACAGAGAAGAAGAAGCCAAACATATATACAAAGAATACAAAAAACTTAATGCCCAAAAAACCAATAACCCTATCAATAAATGAGCTAAGGAACTAAATAGACACTTCACAAAAAAAGAAATACAATCGATCAACAAATATATGAAAAAATGTTCAACATCACTAGCAATTAGAGAAATGCAAATTAAAACTACCCTGAGATTTCTTCTCACTCTAGTCAGAATGGCAATTATCAAGAATACAAGCAACAATAAATGTTGATGAGGATGTGGGGGACTGTAAATTGGTGCAACCACTCTGGAAAGCAGTATGGGGATTCCTCAGAAAACTTGAAATGGAACCACCATTTTACCCAGTTATTCCACTCCTTGGGTTATACCCAAAGGACTTAAAATCATCATACTACAGCCACATCAGTGTTTATAGCAGCTCATTTCATAATAGCTAAACTATGGAACCAGTCTAGGTAAATGGATAAATAAAATGTGGTATATATACACAATGGAATATTATTCAGCCTTAAGGAAGAATGAAATCATGGCATTTGGGGATACAGCTGGAGAATATCATGGCAAGTGAAAAAGGCCAATCCCATGAAACCAAAGACTGAATGTTCTCTCTGATATGTGAGTGGTAATTCACAGTATGGGGTGGGGGCTAGGGAAGAATAGAAGTACTTTGGATTAGACAGAGGGGAGTGAGGGGAGGTGTGGAGGTGTGGGGGTATGAAGGATAGTGGAATGAATCAGATATTATCCTATGTACATATATGACTATACTACCAGTGTGGTTCTCCATCACTTACAACCAGAAGAATAAGAACTTATAGTCCATTTATGTATGATGTGTCAAAGTACATTCTACTGTCTTGTATAACTCATTAGAGTAAAATTTTAAAAAAGAAGCCAAACACAAAAATCATGCACCATGTAAACCAATTATAAAAGTTCAAAATCAAGAAAAATAAAATGATGATATCAAAGTTAAGGAGTAAAGGAGAGAAGCAGGTGAAATTTGGAAAAGCTCAGGAAAGGGCCCTGTGAGATGTTGTTGGCAACAGTCTCTCCACCGAGCCATGGTGACACAGGTGTCCCTTTGTGATGATTCATTAAAACACAGTATGCTTTGTGTCTCTTTCTTACATGTGTTTACTTGATATAAAAAGAAGCTAAAATTTTTAAATAGCATCCTTAAACCAGAAACTTTATTTCTAGGGATTTCATTCTTTGTATATAATTAATGTGTAAATATATTAAAAACTAGCTTCAAGCTTATTAAAAAATAGGTTCAAGCTTATTAAAAATTAGATTCAAGCTTATTGAAAATCAGGTTTGAGCATTATTTGAGATAGCAACATGAATTATTGAACACCCAAAAATTCTATGGAAACTTAAAACAAGGAATCTTTATGCTCCCCAATATTAGAGAATCACCAATATATGTGTGTGATATACATACAATCAGATGAGTTGTAGAATAGTGCGCAGAGAATGTGATCATTTCATTTGTGTTTAAAAATAAGTAGAAAAACTACTCTAAGATTTCATCTCACCCCAGTCACAATGGCAGTTATTAAGAATATAAGCAACAATAAGTGTTGTGAAGGATGTAGAGAAAAAGGCACACTCTTACATTGCTAATGATATTCAGGGCCTGCTCTCCTGAGCCTGATATTGAAGGCAGAGTTTAAAGGGCCACAGAGAAGAAATCACTATATTTTTACCAGTTTATGTGTATTGATCCAATGATCATCACCAGAATGAAGTCTTTGTCTCCTCCATGACACCTATTTATAGTGTGTGCACACTTGTCTTCAAAAGGTGTTGCTGATTCCCAGCTTCCTAAAGCACAGAAACATCGCCAGGTGTCCCGGAGCCTTGAGAGGTTTGTGCACAGCCAGCCCCACAGAGGGCCTGAGCCCCTGGCTGATGAGGAAATGAGAACATAAAAAAAAAAAAAAAATCAGCCTTTGATTATCTTTGCTTTGTGTCCCTGATCGGATCACTCCACGGAGGATTCAATCCCATAATTCACATGATTTCCTTTAAACAGATTGATCCTGTTAACGATGATCATATGAAGAGTTTACCTTTAGAATGGTGGAAGGGGTGCAGCTTTGGAAGGATATGCTTGGGGATTCGATGCCACGCTAAGCGTTCTGCTGCATCCGTGTCCAGGACCCTAAAGACTCCCACTGGGGCAGAAAATCATGTCAGGGAAGCAAACTGAACAGGGGGACAGTGCCAAGGCCACCAATTTAAAGGAGATCCATTTTCCAAATCATCTTCTAGCCAACAGAGTCCTTTTGCCATTTAACACATCGAAAGCTTCTATACAGTTTGATGCCAAGTTTATTCTCGGTGCAGTTTTTTTGTAAATCACATCCAAAATACGATTTGGACCAAAAAAATGCACCTTCTTATGAGCCCTCTGCGTACTCGAAAGACCCAGTGCACAAATCATTTGCACCTGTACCATTTCCATCCAGTTCTAAGCTAATTTTAAAAAGGCTCTGAAAGCCTGCCAACAGCACATGTGCACAGAAGATAAAATGTAATAGCAATTAATCCAATCATCTCTGATTTAACGTTAATTTAACCCAGTGGATTATGCCTTGTTTTGTGCGCAACTGTGTTGATCCTGCTACATTTCAGAGAGCCCCCAAATCAATCAAGTCACAATCCCTAATTGCAGTCAAAATGGGGAATTCCACCCAGCAGGGCCCTTCTCTAGAGTATCTGTTCCTCCCAAGGAAGAAAGGGAAGTCAAAGAAAGAGGCGTCTCTAATAGCAGGCTGCTAACATGCAGCTGATGGTGTCAGGGCTGGCTCTGAGGAGTGGCCTACTGTTTGCTGGCATATTCTATTGCATCAGGGCTTCTTGCCAGAATGAACAGGAAAGGGCTATCACAGAAAAGCCAATGGAAGCATCGCTGCTGTTTAAAGCAGAAACAAACAACAACAACAAATTCCGGGGGCACACTGTTTTCCTTGCCTTTATTTGCAATATGGATCCGATGACTGTGGGAGTTAGAGACCCGAATTAGGACGGCAGTCATGGAAAACTAACACTGTGATACCCTCCTGGGTCTGATTCAACTGGGTTAGAGTGTCAATCTGTTTTCTTGGAACCAAAAGCTGGTTGTGAGAACATTTGTGTTATCAGATGCGAAGAATAGAGAATGTTTCCGGTTACTAATTCCTCCTAGTTTGGATTTTATTGAGAACTGAAATTATAAAAGGTGTTACCCGGGGCTCAGGACAACCCCAGAAGTTCAATTGTAGTTCAGCCTTAGTTAAGGATTAGTTAATAGATACTTCACATAAAGTGCTACCATGTTCTTTTTCATAATTTTTCTCTCCCCTCCTCCCTTCCTTTGCAGCTGAGAATAATTAACTGTTCTTTTGTGAGTGTCATTTGTTCTCAAGGAATTAAATGCCACCTTATTTCCCAGAACAAGAATTCAACTGTCATAATTATAGCTTCATTTCAGAAGCAAAAAAAAAAAAAATCATAATTTATTACAGATTGTTCAGCATGTGAGATAGGTTTAAATGTCATTGGAAGTAAATTGTGGCATGTCATGAACGGGTTTTAGCCACCACTGTAATTGATTTATAATTTCACATTTAAAATGAACAACATTCACCCATTGTTCTTGTATTATATAATTCTGACATCAATCCCTGGAGAATGAGGCATTCAACTTGGTCAATTCAAAATAATAATAATAACAATAATAATAACAATAACAATGATACGCCAATTTTCAAGATAAGCACTGAAATTACCATAAGCACTAAGAAAATATGTGTTAAAATGGAAGTGCGAGCACTATAATAGAAGGCAAAAATATATTTCAGAGGGAATGCATTTGGATATTAGCATTGAACTCCATAAAATTCAATGACTCTCAGGGGCTTTAGTGTAACTCATAAAATTAAGGACCATCAGAATTAAGTTTTAAACCATTCTCTATCCAGAGTCATAAGAAAAGATACAGTAATTGGGGAAGGTGGAGATGAATTTTTCCATTTCTAATTTCAAGCACACTGAGAATCAATTCTACTTTGAACACTAATTTACTAGGTTTACAGTGTGACCCTGATGCCATGAGATCACATTGTGATGATGGATATTATGGTGGAAGAATCATACTTGATTAATCCATTAGGTGCCAATGGATCCATTTTTTTAAAAGATGAAGTGAGTCCTGTGACAGTTCACCTACCCCAAAATTATATTGGTAGACATATGCCATTTGGATTTAGATACAGAAGAAGCAAACACAAGCATACACAATGGCAGGGACAATAGGCACTGGTGGTAAATAAACTACATAGGCTACAATTTAGAGGTAAAATCAGAAACTTCCCACTTTGTCTTCCATTCCCCAGTCTTTTGAAAATTTCTTTCTGGGAAACTCATTTATTATTTGCTTTTAAAAAATCAATATGATAGTCTGAATAAAGAAGAGCTTTGGAAAGACAAGATGTGGTGAGCTGAATAATGGCACCCAGTAGTACCCATGTCCCAAACCCTGGATTCAGTGAATGTCACATTAGACAGCGAAGGGAATTTGCAGAAGTGGTAAAATGTACAGGTTTTGAGAAAAGGAGATTATTCTGGATCATCCAGGCAAAGCCCAAATATTATCACAAATGTCATATGAGAAGGAGGTAGAAAGGATTTTGACTGGTAAGTGGCGGAGAAAGCCATGTGACCACAGAAGCATAGATTGGAGTGATGTATCCAGGAACCAGAAAATTTTTTCAGGAGCCTCTAGAAGTGGAAGAGGTTCTCCTCTAGAGCTTCCAGGAGGAACCCAGCCCTGATAGCATTTTAATTTAACCCCAGAATACTTACTTCATACCTCTCTCTCCCAAACTGTATGGAATAGAGTTGTGTTAATTTAAGCCACTAAATCTGTGGCAATATGATAGAGGGGCAACAAGAGACTAATACACAGGGTATAGGGAAATAATCTGATTCAATAAAATTCTTGACATGACATAAATTTATCTCCATTAGGAGACCCAACTAAGGGGCCAAGTTTGCTTTGGCTTTAGACTTTGGGTTGAGGCTTCTACCCTAATCAGGATCTGGGTTCCACTTTTCTCAGGGCTCAGGCACTTCCCATGCTGTCCCATGTTCCCATGTTCCCATGCTGTTGGGGGACAGTAATCCTAGAATTTGACAGCATTGACAATTTAAGAAAGGAGTAACATTTATGTTAATTTTAAAGCATCACATTTGGATTATTAAATGAATGTAATGCTTGAAAATGAACTGGTATTTTATTTATGGCTTATAAAAAGAGAGATTGCATTTATTTGAAAACATTAACATATTACCAGAGTTCAGTAATTTTTCCAAATGGCATTCTCTTGACCTGGTAAATGAGTGCTCCAGAGTTACTACTTGGCATTCAATTAATGTTTGCAGGAAGTCAAGGATTTACAATGCAAATTTTGGACCCAGTTTTTGAAATAAATTTTTTTATCCAGCCTGCAATAATCTAAGAAAGAAAAGAATAAGACACTTTCAATAAAATATTGGTATGATACATACAACCATCTTATTTGGGGTCACTGGATGGTACTTTCCTATTGCAAATATGTTTTGATCCTCCAACAAGAGGATTATTCAAGAGTTTTTGTAACTATTTCCATCTTTCTCCCACTTCTACTGCTGGATCTGGGACAGCCACCACTAGACTTTAGTTCTTAAACATCTTGGCAATCAGCCTCAGGAAAAGAAGCAAATCTCAGTCTAGTACCACTGATTTCACTGTGCAAGGTGGACCTTATCTTTCCAGCCTCATTCCACACATTCATTCACTCAGGTAGCAGGTGTCTATGTGGAGCCTACTCTGTGTGATGTCACCAGGTGGAATAGAAAGGTGAAAAAGAGAAATCTTATCTAATAATATATCTAGTAAATCCTATCTAGTAATATATTTAGTGAAAATACATAGCTATATTAGGTAATGATTACCAAGGGGATAAATCAATTTGCTTAACTTATCAGATATATCCTATAAGACAATCATTATTACCCTCTCTTCAAACTTGAGACAGTTGAGATTCAGAAGATAAGAAATTCACCCAACTTGAGTAGTAATTTCATGGTGGACCCTTAATTTAAATTCATTTCTAACTCTATAAAGCCTGTGATCTTCACCTGCTCAACAAAATAAAACAAATGAACTTCTGTAAAGAGAAAGTTACTACCTCATTCCCCAATCCTCAGTATATAAGCCTTTTGAAATATCTTATTTTTATTTTCTGGAAAAGTCAGTCATTTTTTCTTTCTTTATTAAAAAGTCAATATTATAGTCTGGCTAGTGAATAGCTTTTGAAAGACATGAAATGGGAGGCTGAATCAGGACATCCACTAATGTCCACATCCTAATCTCAGGAATATGTTAAAATCACATTACATGGCAAAGGGACTTTACAGATGTGATAAAATATACATTTCCTCTGTTTTGAGACAGAAGATTATCTAATGGGAGGGGAGGGGAAGGAAAGGAGGGATAGGAAGGGCAGCAGAATAAAATAGACACTAGTATCGCTGTATGTATATATGTGACTGTATAACCAATGTGATTCTGCAACCTGTACACTCAGAAAAATGAGAAATTACACCCCATTTGATTCAAATGTATGATATGTCAAGATCATTGTACTGTCATGTGTAACTAATAAAAAAAGAAGAAGAATGTAAAGGGTATGAAATTTAATGTGGGTTATATCCCTAGGTGATATGCCAGGGACTTTGTGAGACACGTTCTAAGGACTGGGAAGGAGCAGAACATATGGGTATGGGCAATGGATCATTGCAGGGAGGGGCACAACCAGAAGAAAGACACAAAGGTGGTACCATGGAAATGTATGTTCCCCCTGCCCCCACTAAAGTTCATA